AAACAAGAAAAAAAGTGGGAAGCAGTGTTAAAATAATTCAGAACATTCTGCAAGTACAACAAACTAGGGTATAAATTGAGATTAATTTTACATGCACTTTCTATAGACCAAGATAAGAAAGAAGGAAAGAATAAAAACATGTCATATCCTCATAAGAACAACAGTAAGATGATCATAAGATGAAAATAGAAATTTTAAGAATCTGTTCAAACTGACAAAGGTAATTCCATGGCAGTTGACAATATATACCAAGGATAAACTCTCTCTATCATTTTTTGCTACTCATTATCCAATTAAGGCTCATGCTCTGAAATTCAATCCCAGAAACCAAAACAAGTCTGCAAAACTGGCACAGCCACCTGAACTGCCCTCAAACTCTGTATTAAGGTCAAGCACATCTACTTCCTAGATCAAGGTATACATACTGCAACTTATTTTTCAAGTGTGGTGCATTGCCAAATGTAACTGATGGGTGGTTATCTTAATATGATTAGACATTTCCCAATTTAGATCACCGTTTCAGTATTAGACTTAACGTGAGCTAATATAATTTCAAAGGTAAAATAACATTAGAAAACATACAGTGCATACATGCCCCTACAGTACATACAGAGTCATATTCTTCCTCTTCCTCTTCCGCATGGCCATAGAAGTGATCATAATCTGTAGACCTGGCTGAGTCCAGCAATTCCTCTCCATCTTCTCCACCGACGAAGAACCTAGGAGGATCGCTCTCTGTTGCGCTAACAGACATGACTACAAGGCCTATGGAGATCTAGGTAGAAACTGCATCCACTTTGGCAGCTGAGACACTGGGCATATTCCCAATGACTTGGGAACACAAAAGGCCCCAGCTCTTTGATACTGCTTCTGCAGCGTTGCTACTGTGATTAAACTGTCTTCCAGGCACAGTTTAACCGGTATCAGCTGTTCATTATTGGTTTGAGTTGTTGCTCCAAGAAACCAGACACAGGTTACAGTTTCCCTGAGATGATATGGCAACTTTTTATCCTAAAAAACAAACACACACATGCAACTGATAAAGGCACATAAAAACCACTTCCTTATTTTAAAAAAGCATTTGGAGAACTATATACCTCTGATATACGACAGAGTGTCCAAAGCAAAAGCATCAGAAGTAAAGCCCTGCAGGCTGCACACAATCTACATTTCTACATGTATGTTCGGAGCAGGGGGAAGTAATTTCAAGATGTTTTCAAACTGCTTACTCAGATATTTTAAAAATATCTATCTGGTATAACTCAGGAAAGTAAAAAGCATTAAATGCATTCTTTCCAACTTTTAGGAAGGGTAAAGCATAAAGGAGATTTTATAAAGAGATAAAGGAACAAAAGTCTTCTCCGATATTTGAGATATTTAAATCCCTATTCCTGTCAGCTGTTCTCCCTCCCCCCCATCGTTTCCCAGTCAAATGAGCCATGGTAAACAACTAAAACTAACAGATAAAAATACTAAAATAAATAAATAAATATATATAGCACCACTATTAAAGCTATTTAAGAAAATTATTCTTTCAAAAACACAATAAGACTCTGGTTTGAAAGCAAAATGTGTATGTTAACTTGGTGTCATGTGCTTATTTAGTTTGTTAATTTTTCAGTGTGAAAATGAAGCAACACTTAATCAATTCCAGAAATATCCATCAGCTCTGCCTTTGATCAAAACTACTTCTAAGCATCAACTTTCAATGTCCCAGCAAAGTGGATACACATTAACCAGTCACGTCAAAATAAAATTTTGGCCAAGCAAGCTGTATGCAGAAACAGACTCAATGCTCAGTCTTCCATTAGATTAACTAGACAACTGTTATCATTATAAATTGTGCATGATTTTGTCGTATTAATTATAACCCATTATTATTTGGAATTTTAATAAGCAGTTATTTGTTTAGAAGTTCATCTGATCACTTGGTTTCAGCGAAATGGCAGAAGTCATTTACAGGAATGCAAGTACACAACAGCTACAGAGACTGAGCTGCATGCCACATGCGGTAGAGGCAAACCACATCAACCTTCTTAAACAATGGTTTTAGACAATGAGAAAAAAGTTGCTGTAATGCATAAGCGTTCTAAATTAAAGGGATAAGAACAAAAATCATTTAGGTCGTTCATTAGTCAAATCATTGTGTAAGTACCATTGAACAATGATGTCTCAGCAGAACTGAATTTGTCTTTAAATATCTGCCAAAATAACTTCGATTGTTCTATAAACCAAGTGAAGCAATAGGCAATTTTCGGAGGTAATCAGCCATTCAGCCCCCTGTGAAAGGGGGTGGTAAACAGAGCAAAAGTTACCTGCCGTAAGTCAGAGAGCAATAGATTAAGCATGGACAAACAATACAGCTGCTTCAGATACAGAAAAGCTGAGGTCTAAACAACAGACACACTGGGATCTTGGAGTGACAGCAAGGGATTCCACTCTTAAATATATTTGCTACACACCTGCTGTTTCAATCCCATTAATAAAAATTACATTCTTTTATCATCTCAAACTGCAGCCGTTTGTGTTTCAAGCAACAAGAACATAATTAAACTTCAAACAATTCATTTTGCTGCCACGTGAGAGTTAGAAATTAGAGTACTGAGAGAACCCCTTTTATGAAACGGTGAAGAAAGCAAGCTGTCCAAATGTTGTTTCAAGTAAGATTCAGCAAGGCAGAGGTTATTGACAACATACACTGACAACTAATTCAGAATTTTGAAATAGTATTAAAGATAAAATTGAGTCAAAGAATTGGATCCAATCTTAAGAAAAACGACAATAATGTTTAACAGTTCCTCTCAATACAGTTTTTCCCCCCCCCCCAATTCTCTAAGTACTCTCACATTTAAAAGTATAATTAATTAGTCAGGTGAGTTCCTCACCAGGCCAATGAAAAAAAATCATTCTCAATTTGGTCACGAGAAGCTGAAGGAGGTATTGCAATATTTTACAGCTATCCCTAAAGCATAAGTGAGATAATACAGAATAAAAGCATAACTCTCTGTAAGGCCACGGTACAAATCATGATGCACTATTGCGCCACATTCATGAAGTTCTTGTCACTTCCTCTTCAGAAAAAGGGGGAGAATGCAAAGAAAAGGGTAAACAATTGAGGCATGACAAATCTACAAGATCATCAGCAACGGAGAAGGAAAATAGGGTATGACTGTTCATTATCGCTTCTAATGTTTTGCTTGAGGGCAAAGACTAGCAAGTGGAAGAGAAAAAGAAGAGTTTTTCCCCTCACAGTATACATAATTATGCTTTGGAAGTCCAGATGTTTTTGATTCTATAAACCTGTACGGGTTCAAAAAGTGATTAGGTAAGTTCATGGAAGGAGGAAAATATTGGATGCGATACCATCTCTTGAAGATGAATGAAGACATGCACTGCACTTAACATAAGATGACCTTTGTTCCCAAAGGCGGCTGCTGGGCACCACTTTAACACACAACTTCTCTTAGAAGGAGAATGAAACATGCCTAGCTCTCCTTAGAGAACTGCAGTTAACTAACCTAAAAATCCACTAATTGTGGATGACGAAGCTTTTTCGGTTAACCTCAGTATGTCAAAAAGCCATGTTACTCTGCACCTCGGATCACGATGACAGTATTTTTAAAAACATAACAAGGAATCTGACATTAATATCAAATAGCCACGCTATGAGGGTCTGTCTCTAGCGGTACTTGAATCTCTCTTACCTGAAGCGATCATTTCTCAAAGCAGGTAGCTAAGAAACCACACAAAGACTGATGGGAAAAGCACAACCCGTCCACAAATCAGACAAAGATAGCCTGGCAAATAGAATTCCCCAACAGGACGGATAAGCAAGTCTATTTGAAACTTAGTGTTTCTTCATTTTACTCACTCAAGAATCTGGAATGTGTTTGTTGGTCTTATTGATGGCAAACAGATCTACCAAGGGGAGCTTCACTTACGGAACACAGACTTTGAACGCTCACCTTTGTGGTTAGCAGATTGTTTTCTGCAGGATTTATCACACTGTTCACCCTCTGTAGGTGCTGTCTTTTGTGTCTTCTAACAAGTAAGTTGCAAGGCATGCACCTAACTTAACATACTGCTAGAGGAATTTATCTTATGGAGGTTTCTTAGATCAGTTGACAATATCCTCAATATATTAGTTTGGAGAAGAACAAGCACCCTCTTCCTGAGCATATACTTTTCAGCTGCAGATGAGCCTCTCTAGCTCTTCCGGAGGAGCGTGCATTCAGCATTACAGGAAGACTGGTAAGAATATGCATTCATAAATCTAGAGAAGATAAGACAAACTGTGACTGTGAGGCAAACATTTGTATATTTGGTTTGAAAAACCATCCTCAGCCTGCCCCAGAGACACAGAAAATGCAACTTGGCAAGATACGTCTTGCCGGACTCCAACTGCTGTTTGGGAGCTTTCTTCAAGATTAGAGAACTATAGTTTTAAAAAAATAACTAAGCATAGCTACCTCAATGCCTACTCAGAATACAGATTTTTCTCAGTTGAGCAGATATAGTATTAAATTAAGGACAACAAGAAGGCCTTCTTCAAATACATCAATAGCAAAAGGAAGACTAGGGAAAATGTGGGCCCGCTGCTGAATGGGGCGGGTGCCCTGGTGACGAAGGATACAGAGAAGGCAGAGTTATTGAATGCCTTCTTTGCTTCTGTCTTCACTGCTAAGGCCAGTCCTGAGGAATTCCAGACCTTGGAGACAAGAGAGGAAGGCTGGAGAAAGGAAGACTCTCCCTTGGTGGAGGAGGATCAGGTTAGAAATCTTTTGTCCAAACTTGACATCCACAAATCCATGGGCCCCGATGGGATGCACCCACGAGTGCGGAGGGAGCTGGCGGATGTTATCGCTAGGCCACTCTCCATCATCTTTGAAAGGCCCTGGAGATCAGGAGAGGTGCCTGAGGACTGGAAGAAAGCCAATGTCACGCCAGTCTTCAAAAAGGGCAAGAAGGAGGAGCCAGGAAACTACAGGCCTGTCAGCCTCACCTCCATCCCGGGAAAGGTGATGGAACAGCTCATCCTGGAGGTCATCACTAAGCATCTGGAGGACAAGAAGGTGATCAGGAGTAGTCAGCATGGATTCACCAAAGGGAAATCATGCTTGACCAATCTGATAGCCTTCTATGACAGAATGACTGGCTGGGTAGATGAGGGCAGAGCAGGGGATGTTGTCTTTCTGGACTTCAGCAAGGCTTTTGACACTGTCTCCCATCACATCCTC